ATGTGCTGAAACGTCTAGAACTATTGGCAACGTCGCTGCTAGTCTTTCCAGAATGAAATGAGCCGTCCGTCCCACCACCCCTCGCGACGGCCCTATGATCCGTTATAGCGTACTACGTTTAGCTTGCGGTGTGTTTGAAGTCGGAATCAAGACGAAAGTGAACTTTTCAGTGTTTTTCGGTGGTTTTTGTTTAACGTACTTTTGAATCTGCGAATTCAGTATAGTACGACAGTGTCAAGTGTGTGGAAAAATAAGCTCAAATTACCCGAATTTGTCTTTTCACAGGTGGGTATTGTTTTGACATTTTATATTTCCGTCGTCATTGTACATAGGCGTCCCACAAGGGAGCCTCTCACAATCACAATAATTTCTAATTATATGTGTAATTAATCTATTAAAACAAGAACGTAGTAGCCGGTAATTGAATTATAATTCGTCTCAATTACTACCTAACTGTTGTAGATCATAATTTGCATTTGAAATTTTATTATAAGCCAGAAAGTGACATTTTTTTCTTAAAATTGCGTCATTTTTGATCATTATATACGATATTCTAAAGGAATTTTGTTCAACAAATAAACAAAGGTGTTACCCGACCTTTTTTACATTTTATTGCTTTATTATATCTGCCCCTTCGGCCTTGTTTAGACAATTTTTTACCACTGTACAAATACCTCTTCCTAGAGTTATTTGTACGATGTGTTTACTTTTTTTTAGAATGGGAAAAACTTAACGAATAATTCTTAGGCTACTAGTTTTATACATACCTATATCACAGTTTAAAGAATATAAATATATATGTATTCTTTAAACTGTGTGATATGTGTGTAACCTATATACAGAGTGACCCAGGCCCAAGGTTATTAAAAGGTAAGGTTGTCTCGTAACTTTTGGACCAATAGGAGCGAAGCGGAATATCATCACTGTGACGTAGACAGAACGTATAAAATCATAGATGAAAAGAATAAAAAATAGAATGCAACGGACAAAGGGACATAAATGGGCAATAATAAAGAAAACAAACATCAAACAACTAAAAACTATGGACGCCATAAACCATTATACACAATGAATATCGATTCGGAAATGCACCGTTGGACTGTCGGCAGTTTTTATCCCTTTATCTATGAGCGGTAGCATCCCTGTGATGTAGTAGATGACGTTTCGAATAATGGCGGATCGAGTTACGAGACAACCTTACCTTTTCATAACCTTGACCCAGGCCTCCAAAAAAGCTTTTTACCTATTACTACTAGCTGCTCTCGCCATCTAGCACTCGCCATAGTAGTACGTTTTGTACTCAAATGCTATTTTTTGCTTTTCGTTTGTCGGATTGAGGGTTACAGCAAAGTCGGCCTGACGATGGAGATAAATCTCCGAAACCGGTCGTCGAATGGCTGTTCCCTTCAGTCTGATGAACTTAATTCAGAAAATAAGCATATATGTAGGGGTTAGGCCTTAATAATTTTTTGCTTCTTGTATTTTGTTTATTTATACAAACCCTACCAAGCCTTCAGCTCCATCTACGGTAACGTAGATGAAGCAAACGTAATAATTCATTATTATGCGACAGAAATCCCATACTGTAGCACAGAGATTTGGTACTTTTAATGATAAATGCCTTCTATTGAGAGACTAAAAGGTAATTGCCTCGTATCAGAGCCATCATAATGCAAGAAGACCGAAAGTCAAATCTTGTCTTATATTTTCAAAAAAAACAATTTTCTCATTAAATATTGATTTTAGGTATAGGAAGTTATTAATAATACAAGATTAAACAACTATTACACAGTACTTCACAGGAAGCTATCGATTGCGAACTAACTAAATCGTTACTAATTACTAATTTTGAAGTTCTTTGTAAGATCAAAAAAGGTAAAACTAAAACCTAAACTATCATTTCAGATTAAACGGGAAGTTCTAAATAATGTTGCCTATTCTAAACAAGAAAAAATTATTTATAAGTTTTATAACATCTCTAATTAAATTTGGACGAAAAGAATATTTCTGTTTGCTGTAGGTAATTTTCTCAGGGAAAATACGAAAATAAAAATGACTTTTTAAATCAAAAAAAGTCAAAAGGACAAGTTATTCCAAAAAAGGACAGGTGGCAACCCTAGGTATTTCTGGAATGGAAATTTAATAGCAAATCTACAAGTTTAGTTTGAAAATATGTTCCGGCCACCTATGTTTACAAAAATGTCTAAAATGTGCTTTACCATTGCCTCCATATTCTGAAAAAAAAATGAAAGAAGTCACCAACCACAAACCTAATATAGAACTGTTTCGGAAGCCTAAGTCACCCTGTAAATATTCAAAAGTAACTGAAAGTTTAAATTGAAAATCGACGTTGGAGCGATTTTCGAAAACTACCTACGTTTCAACATAGGTATATGTGGGATATGAATTATATTATTATATTAGACCTTATAACAAAACTCATCTGACGAAAAAGTGTTAATGTAGTATATTAATATGGAGTATAAATTTTACTAATTAATTTACTTTTACTTTACTAATTAAATGCGTTCCAGAAAACGATACGCCACTGGCCATTAGAACAATCGAAATGCGCCTAGTTGCCGGGGTCAGAAATTTTAGACTTCTTTGTCTCTTCTGTTCTTGTTCGACACATTGGAATGTTTGATACACTACCAACAAGTATTTATGAATGAGATGTTCGGTCTATCTTTATAATGTCTTTGATCTGGTCAAAATAAACATATTTTCTCTTTACCATTTTTAAAATAAATTGAAAATAACCGAGTTATTTATCTTTGAAAATTTAAAAAAATAATCGCAGCATTTTGAGAACCGCCGGCAGATATTGCCATCTACATCCAATTACCCGGATCAAGCCCGGATTTCAGTTAATTCGACGCACTGTGTTGCCATATGGACAAGAAAGTATATGTTTACAAGTAAGTCATAAAATCACAACACCTGAGGAGTTTGCAGAGATGCATTACATTTTTAAGATTGTGATATTATTACATAAAATAAATTAAAAGTTAAATTAAAAAACTTACCCAACATTAAAAAAGATACTTATGACAGATCGATGTAACTGCGACAGTTCTCTTTTTCGATACACACTTAACCCAAATACAATACACTTCACAAAATACACTTCATTGTGCTGCTTTACTTGTACGTGCTATTATAAAAACTGCTAAAATAACAGTCCCCATTTTTAACTTAACACATTATTTTCATATAGGCTTTATCACAATTTGAACCACTGATTTACAAAACACCTTGAAAAGCACACATTACACATTACTTTGAATATCTTTCTGAATGAATAAATGTTGAGAATTATTGTCTCTTACCGCCACTTTACGAACTACTTTCAATCTAAGAAAATACATGTTTCACTCAACAATTTTAAATACGTATTTTGCTTTTCGCTATTTTTTCGATGTATTTCGACAATTCCGTCAACAGCCCAACCGTCGGCCAAGACAGCCACGCATCACTGGTTGGTAACTGCTCACTGCTTCTTTGTCGCGCCGGCGTGTCGAGGTTGCGTCATGCGAGGTTGCCGTAGTTTCAACAATTTCAAATTCAAGACACTCGAAGCAATCAAATTCTTATTAAATTATAAAAATAAAACAGAAAAACATGAAAGGAAACAAACAAAACACAAATGAATTGATTATTGATAAGGTCACAAAAAAGAAATTTCTAAAATGTTTATCGTAATTCAGAATTCAATATATCGAAAACAGCCCGACGAATAATCAATTCATTTTCGTTTTGTTTGTTTCCTTTCATGTTTCTCTGTTTTATTTTTAAAATTTAATACAAATTTGATTGCTTCGAATGTCTTAAATTTGAAATTCTTGTAACTACGGCAACGTTGCTTAACATCGTCGTCTGACGCAAGCCTGCCACGACGGCGCGGCTCAAAGGACCAGTTCACACGTGGCACTCTTGGCCGACGCGCGACGGTTGGGCTGTCAAAATACATCGAAAAAATAGCGAAAAAACAAAATACGTATTTAAAATTGTTGAGTGAAACATGTCTTAGATTGAAATTAGTTCGTAAAGTGGCGATAAGAGACGGTATTCAAAGTAATGTGCGCTTTTCAAGGTGTTTTGTAAATCAGTGGTTCAAATAAAACAGAGAAACATGAAAGAAAACAAATATTGAATTCTAAATTACGATAAACATTTTTGGAATTTCTTTTTTGTGACCTGGTTGTGAATAATATGATGAATCATTTTCGTAAACGTCATAAACGTAATGTTTTAGTTAATTTTCGGTGGTTTTTGTTAAGTTTTCATTGAAAGGGTAAGTACTAAAAATAATTAATGTGTTTTTTTTTCTATAATAATTATTAATAATGAGCACTGATAAAAATTTAACATTCCTAATTTTTGAGTAGAAATTTTTCTACGAATTTATAAATGTAGAACTATGTAGAATGTGGATAACATAGGAGGTTGCAACACTGCAAGGTTTAGATACACCGTAGAGAAATCTGAGGTGAATAAACAAGTGGCACTAAAAAGTTTTTTCAAATTTTCCGGAAAATGTCAACAAAAATTTTAAATTTTCAACATTTTTTTTTCGCAAAAAAAACCTCATAGGCGTGTTTCTGGGGTTGAACTATACTACCAGTTAAAATATTTGCACTTATTTCTGGGACACCCTGTATAGTATATCCCCGGATTGCCTTTACAAGAGGAAAAACTTTTTTATTATTAATTTTGGGAGAAAAATGTATTCTTCATTAATGTCATTTTTGCTGTTTTAATATATTAAAGTAGCACAAAATTTATTTGATTCAAAACTACGGAAAAGGTGATAATAAATTGTGGTTCTTTAACTAAAATAGAAAAAAATAGCAATGCCATTAATCAAAATTATCCTTTATCAAACGTAAAAACGAAATGATATTACCACAGAAACGAGTTTTGATTTTTTGGACTTTTCAAAACTTCAACTATAAAAAGGAAATTCAACTATATTTTCATATTTTTGTAATGCTTACCTGGGGTATTGTGAATTACAGTGATATATATACTCTGTAATAATATGTTTGTCCTCAAAAGCATCCTCATATCTGTTGGATATATCTGACCTTAGCTTCCTAACCAACCATGGACCTAAAATCACTAAGATTTCAAAAACAAAATATATTACTCAATGTTAATATTTACCAAAAGGTCCTACAGCTCTTACAGTTGCTAGGGGATTAAAGTATGTTAAAGGATATAAAACAACTCCTAAGACCTTCACCCATGTTCGAGGTTGAATATTGGCTGGTTTTTCAGAAAAACCCCACGGATCAGCTAAAATTAAATGTTTCACCCTGTATAATACAAAATTAATTTATTAGTATTAATTAGAAATATTGAAAAAATGTTACCCACCTATCTGGATAACTCATAGCGTAACTTGTAGCTAAATATCCTCCAAAACTGTGACCTAACAAAATAAACTTATCTAGTTCTAACTGTTTCCTCCACGCTTCTAATGCAGATATCCATTGTTGCTCTGCAGTATCACAGTCCTTGGCAAAAGATGGTCTAGATGATCTTCCAAAACCTAGAATACATTTGCCAATTTATTCAATAGGCTTGTTCCACTTGTGCCCTTTTGTATAAAGGTAAATTATGTGCAATTCGCTTATTTTGATTCAAAAAATACGTAGTTCTTAAAATATCTTAAAAAATGTATGTTGTTATTTTTTTTAAACTTTGATGCCCTCTAGCGGACAAACGAAGCACTTTTGTATAGAGGTAAATTGTATCCAATGAACTTATTTTGATTCCATAAATACGTAGTAATAGTTCTATGTCTACGGAATATTGGGACACCCTGTACATAATTACTCCGTTCAATAACAATGGACATATTGTTCATTTTTTGTCGCGCCTAGCATTAAAAGGCTTGGCATTAATGTCGCTTCCAGCATTAAAAGGCGCGTTCTCACGACTCGTGTACTTGGCAAGTATTTTTTATTGCCCTACAGGGTCTGGCGGGAGTGCGGCGTAGTTCGTATAATAAATAACTTAGAAATTCAGTATAGATGCCCGACCCACCGTGTATACCAATTAAAAATGTTTGTTAAGTACACAAGTCATGAGAAAGCACTTAAGACGCATTCCCACGACTCGTCTACTTGGCAAGTATTTTTTATTTTCATACAGGGTCTGGCGAGAATACGGCGTAGTTCCTATAATAAATAACTTAGAAATTGTAGTATACATGCCCGACGCACCATAGATACCCTGTATACCAATTACAAATGTTTGTCAAGTACACGAGACGTGAGAATGCGCCATAAGAACTTAACGCAGAGACTGTAATATAATTCTACCATAGTTCTACACATCGTGACTTGCCGACAATCAGTTTGCAACGGGAAACAGTGGTGTGATTTGGCGTTTTATGATTATTAAAGCTAATTTGTTAGTATATTTTCTCAAAATAGGCATTCGGTAGGAGAAGGGTTATTTACTCGGTAAGAGATAGGTGGATGGGGTAATCTCCAGAGATACAGCCGAGAGCTATTCTTAGTGGGACACCCTGTACTTATTTCATATTGAAATTATGCAATAAAATAAATCCAAATCCTGAAATTTGCAATAATAAAAATAATACTACCTTATACAGAGTGTCTAAAAATTTATTTTAAATAATTATTAGCTTCAAACGGCAATAACTTGTTTAATTTAAATGGAACACCCTGTATATTTTACGAGAATCAGATGCACAATTTAATTGTCTATCAAATTATATTATACCATTTTTTACCTATCTCTTTAAGTTTCCGTAGAAAATGCATTTTCTTGTAATTTAGAACTTATTTATCAATATACCCATGGACTATTGACATTTTAGATTATTTTTAAAGATGTACCAAATTTTTAAAGAGTACAGATACTAATATTGTCGATATAATTCATTTATTTCATTAAAAAATAAAAAAAACTGTTTAAATATTTGTTAAAGAGGACCAATTAATATGATTCCAGTATTCAAACTACATTAACTGACTGTTTGTGTTGATTAATAATAATTGCTCCAAATACTAAAAAACTGAATTTTGTATGGGCATTAGACAGTGTGATAAAAAGTAACACCTTAAAAAAGATATTTCATTTTTTAATAAATGCTTATTTATAACAACAAAGACTTTAATTTGATAACTTATTATTATATTGATTTCTGACTCAAAAATCCACATTTATTTATAATAATTTATTAACGAACACAATTAAGTATGTCATTAATTAGTATATGGGCGAAAATAATGGTGTTATATTTAATTAATGGTATACTCTTTTATCAAGATTTAATTAGTTTTCTTTTTGCATACAAATGGGCTAGTAATATTATCGTTTTGCCAAAAACGATAATATTACTAGTCTGTACATTTTGTACATTTGTTGCTTTAAAAACAATCTAAAATGTCAGTATTCCATGGATATATTGATAAATGAGGTCTAAATTATAAGAAAATGCATTTTCTACGAAAACTTGAAGGGATAGGTAAAAAATGGTATAATACAATTTGATAGACAATTTAATTGTGCATCTGATTCTCCTAAAATATACAGGGCATTCCATTTAAATTAAAGAAGTTATTGCCGTTTGAAGCTAATAATTATTTAAAATAAACTTTTAGACACTCTGTATAAGGTAGTATTATTTTTATTATTGCAACACAATAACTGATCAATAAATAAACTTCATTAAATATTTAGTATTAAAAACATTGATACCCTTGGAGAAATGAAGCTTTAAAATTTTACTGCAATTTCACAAAATTGAAAATATTTCAAAAACGGTAAGGTTTAAGTATAATAAACCTTAATCAAATTTACCTTTATTTTAATCGTAGAAACTAAAAATGTAATAATATACAGGGTGTTCCATTTAAAAAAATACAACTTTGATATTTTTTATTTATTTGGGACACTCTGTATCTTGTAAAAATATTTTTAAATTGTAGCTCTAATAGTCCTTCAACGAACCCCAAACTTACAATTTGTAAAAATCTTATCGTTTAGCTACAATACTCCGTGTCGTATGTGGTGAACAACCCTGTATATTTCGTTATGGACTATACAGTTTGTCTTTAAAATTTGTTTTTTATAAATAAATTTTTTAAATGAAAATTAAATTTATTATTTTATTATATTATCCTATCCATCCTAACACTGTAAGTAACAAACAAGAACAATTAAAATAAATTTTGTAAACTATCTGGTAAGTATGTAAACTAGCAGCTATTTTAGTAAACTGTAGTAAAATCCCCATCCTAACCAGATTTTATAGTTTGCATACTAACCAGTTAAAATATAAACTAGCTGCGGTTGTCTGCTATTTTGCAAGAAGAGGCGGATTCTTTCAAAATAACAGCGCTTTTAGTTAGTTTGCAAAATAGCTGGCTAGTTTTAAAACTAGCCAAGTATCCATTTTAGCTGTAACATATCAGTGGCGGCTCGTCAGGTGCAGTAGGTGTAGGGGCACTTCACCGAAAAAAAATACTCAAATTAAAGAAAAAACTTTACTGCTTAAAATCTTAATTTAGTTTAATATATTTACATGTATCTAAATAATAAAATGGTAATTTTTTATATTTTTTTCCGGGCGGACCTCTGCATAATAGGTCCACCGCATCGTTAATTCCGGCCGAAAAAGTAGCATTATTGGCCCGCACGCGCCTATGTTTCGACGAAGCCACAAGTGAAGTGAAAATATTTGTGAGCCAAGCGGCTGCACGGTTTCCATGGTAACGTGACGTCCAGAAATTTTTTATCGGCGACCGATGAGAATGAGTTTTTGGGCAGTTCACTTCGTCTTCCTTTATGCTAATATATATAAATATATATTCGGCTTCTTCGGCGAGTAATTAACCGTGTAAATACTTTAAAGTTGTTGTTGATTATTTATTGTTGTTTGTTAATGGTTTTTGTTGATTTACCTTGATAATTTTCTTCACAAAGAACTTTTAAATGAACTTATGAGTGAAAATCCGTTTTATGACGATATTACTGATAAGTTTGCATCAATAAGAACAGAAGAAATGAGCTGATTTACAAAAATTAATAAGGTTAGTAATATAAATAAGTCAAATTTATTTTGGTTAATATTGCTTAGTAAACAATGTAATAATAATTAATGTAATAATTGAATAATAATTGAATAGCTCCTCGGTTGTAACCAACAATTTTTTCAATATCGAAATTTCAGTGAAAAAACCGAGAAAAAAACGTTATATGAAAATTACAACCTTATTTCACTGAAATCACCATTTTGAAACAGTTTTACAGTGTCCGCCATAAAGTTGGATCCATACCTATGGACGTTTTTTTTGGTATTAGAGTTTAAAAAAAAACTTTTTGTGGAAATCAATTCTGCTTTAAAAACAACTTAAAATGCACCAAGTCAAAGTTAAAACATAATTTTGTTTGACACCTTTTTTAAAATAATAATAATTTAACCAATTTTTAAAAATTTCTTTTAAATAATATTTTGTATTTTTTGACACAGCTCCCAGATGTTACCTGCCAACTTTGACGTGCATTTTAAGTGGTTTTCAAAGCAGAAGTGATTGCCACAAAAACATTTTTTAAAACTCTGATATAAAAAACGTCCATATTGATCCAACTTTATGATGCACACTGTATATAATGTTTATTATATTTAATTTAAATTTAATTATATTTTCACTGGAATGCAAAATAATGTGTTTATCGAAAACTGGTTGTATCCGTTTTTACTTAATGCGTTTTAGCCCAAACTAAAAAGAAAATATTATAGGTATTAGTGTATAAATAATAACAAAAAAAAAATTGACAAAATGGTGAATACACCAAAAAAATTTCAAATAATAATTTAAAAAATGTTGACAAAATGGTGAATGCGCCAAAAAATTTTCACCTGCGGCGCAATTTAAAAACAAACTCTTCACCTATTTTTATACCCACGAGCCGCCACTGTAACATGTACCGTATGATCGAATAAAAACGGTGTCAGCGATGGCTATGAAATGAAGATCGCTGTCATTTTATATGTAAAATTATATGGGATGTCATCGATCGTCATTTCCAAGTCAACTGTCGCCATTTTTTTTCGATCACACGGTATAAAACTCAATGCTGACTGACTTGGGTCTCAACGAACAACCGAAACCGCTTAGCATAAAAGTACGATAGTTGGCACATACAGGTTCCTTGAGTAATGTAAATGAGCACAAAAAAAGGATTTTTGGAAATTCGACCGCTAAGGTGGTGAAATTAGGGATGAAATGTTGCATAAAAATTTGTTAAAAATTCACAAATTCAAATGTACAGGGTGGTCGAATTAGACTGTTTTAACAGAGAAAACCTATTTCTTGACTAGATAGACCAAAACCGACATAAATGTCATGGGCTCGATTTCTGAGATACGTTTAATGGCGTAAACCGCCTGTTGATATTTTCACTGCCAACAGAGAGACGGGGCCTTTTTGAATTTTTTACCATTTTGAAAATTGCCTATAACTTTTTTATTTTGCGGAATAATAAAATTCTGTAAAAACATTCTTAATGCCC